CCAGGATGCTTGGTTCTTGGTTGCTGGCGGACAAGTCTGGAGGCAGCAATTTTGGTTGTCGGCTAGTCCCGTTGCTTGGGGGAGGATTTGATGATATTGGCCGATACAACTGGGGATCTGCGGTTCTGTCACACCTTTTCAGGAATTTGTGTGAATTGACAGATGCCGATCGATCTGACATAGGTGGTTGCCATATTCTCCTTCAAATCTAGGCATGGATACGATTCCAACCCATTGCTCCGTCGCTTCCTCCTCATCTAGAGTCGGGCACGCATTATGGATGCCGGTATGCTTAGTTAAACAAATATAATTTCGATAATGATTTATCAAATATACTTCTTGATTATGATTGCTGATATATGTTTCTGATGACAGATTTAATACAGTAGCAAAGTTTAAACCTCATGAGGTCACTCATTATCGGGCTACCTTGGATACACTTTGTAGAGATGAGGTAAGGTGGTCCATATTTAGTTTGTTGTTATTTTATCATGTATGTATATTAATTTCCAACTCCTTATATTCAAATTTCATTTTGTGTGTAGGTGGTGTGGCTACCATATATCGATTATGAGTGGATGGACGTGACGGAACACCAGAAGTATCTCTGGCTTGCTATCAGTCCCTTTATTTACTTCCACACTGTCGAGGCATGTCAGCCGGATAGGTGCATGCGGCAGTTTGGACTTGATCAACCCATCCCGGATGTGAGCAGAAAGTTGAGAGGGATACATGATCATACTCTACGGGGAAAGGTTGAAGAGAATTGGAGGCGTAAGCTTAGTGGACATATAGCGAGATGGCAGGCCAGGGTGAATCATATTGTTGTGCCCCCTCCATTACTAGGGTTGATGTCACCTAATCATGCGTACATGGAGTGGTACAGAGGAAGGGGAAAGAGATACATCTCTCGGAGGGCAACAAAGTTGGGACGAATTGTGAGTTTCTAAAATTTGTGTACACATTCATATTTAAACATAAATTATGACATGGCTAACACATTTTGTTATACAGATTGACGGTTTAGAGATGTTGTATCATGCATCATCTGCGGATGAATTTTCTCGAGTCGACATTGAGTTTATTCATGAGGAGATTGGCAAGCTTATTGGTATCTTTCATGAGAATTCACGAGTTGATGAGCCTGAAGCTGAGGCACCAGCAGTCCAGACACAACCAGATCCACAGTTGTCCTTGGATGTTCCTCGTAAGCGAGTTGAGTGACGCGGATTAGGACGTACACGTGAGCGAGTTGCTGATGAGCCTGTCCCGATTATGGCACCGAGACCAGTGGTCGAGACTCAGGGATGGTTCAGACCTCCAGTCATTGGGACTACTTACGGGTCATAGCCGATTTATCACCACGGATCGCAGTATGCGGTAGGTCCTAGTCAGGCGGCATCTGAGCACCCATACATGGACTCACAGGAGCCAGTATTCACAGGGACTTGATGTCGATTTCCCCCATTGGTCTGCAGAGGACACAATGGAGTTGTATCGCTCAGTAGGCCTTGTCACAGAGAGCCATGACAGTGGGGAGACGCTAGCCACAGATTCTCACAGTCAGGGACACACCCCATTTGAAGTGCATGGCAGTAGTGCAGGAGCAGGTTATTCACATTATACAGGCCAGTCTTCATATATTAGTGGGCACGACCAAGCAGATGATTTCATGCGTGTAGCGATGGATGACTTCCACACTCCACCACCACAGGCACATGCACAGGTACATCAGGGAGACCCAGTCTGGGACATACGTATACTACCAGATAGGGACGCACGACATAGGCCATGGCCATCGTGGTCGTAGTTTCATTGCCATTTTAAATATTCACTATTTTGTGGACTGTATCAGATTGTTATTATATTGTTATTTTGTATTAGTTATGACTTTAGTCGGATCATTGTTTTTTTGTGGACTGTACATTATTATATTATTTGGACTATTCACTATGCTTTATTATTTATGCTTGGTTGGTCGTCCTTATTGCATTTATGTTACAGTAACTAATCAGGACGGTTAATTAATAATACAAGAATAAAAACATACATAAAGGAAAGGAAAAAGTCCAACATAACGGACATTACAATTCAAGCAATAAGATGACCAACAGCAAAATAATAACCAACAGCAAAGTAATGACATTACTAATTATCTCAGTCTTTTCTCCCACGACCTGGACATCCCCGACGATTATGGCTGCGTTCCTTGCAAAGTCCACACCTGATACGGCTTTGACTTGTCTCTACTTCGTCCATCTCGTTGCGGATGCGAGTTGACTTTGGACGACCTTTTGCACGCAACATAGTGGCATCAGGAATAATCTTTGGACCACTAATTTCAGGTATTGCTTCCTCATTTCCGATTGGCTCCCACGGAAAAGAATAAGCCTCGACCAAGTTTGTTGTCAAGAAGACATCGTCAACGTACGTGAACGCACTCTGCCTAACACTTAATGCAGCAGCAACGACGTGACTACATGGATACTTAAAGGCCTTAAACTTTCCACACTGGCAGAATCTCTGTGGGAGGTTGACAGAATATGAACGCTTCCAACCTGCGTCAACCTCGAAAGACAGTATGTTCAACATTGTATGCACGAACGTGGTGGCCTGTTGCATCTACTTGGTTCTTCTTGACCAATTCAACAACATTTTTGGAGTGACGATGAGCTGATTGAAGTTGTGCAACGACATTTGTTCCTCTCTCAACAAAATATGCAACCAATCTGCTATATGTATGCTTAACCAATGCAGTTATAGGCATATTTCTGGCCCCCTTCAAAACCTTATTGACAGATTCAGCCAAATTTGTTGTCATATGACCGTACCTCCGCCCTTCAATATCGTAGGCTCGCGACCACTTTTCCTTAGGAATGGCATCAATCCACTCAGCAATTTGAGGACTACTTTCACGGAAGCTCGCAAGATTCCTTTCAAAATCAACGATGGTCGGAGTATAACCTGCACATAATGGACATCCACGAATTAAACATAAATTGATAAACATAATGGAATGACATAAATATGCATCGTGTCAATGAGTATACCTAAATTCTTTAACATCCACTTTAAACCTTCATTCCGAAACTTTTGATTGAAGTTTCTTGCAATATGACGAATACAAAAGACGTGATATGCATTTGGTGGCTGCCAATTAGGGTTATTCTTCACAGCATATATTATGCTACGATGCCGATCGGAGATCAAACATATGTTTGACATGTCAGTAACATGAGCACAAATATTAACAAGAAAATAGTTCCATGCATCCAAGGTCTCGCCTTCAACGATGGCAAAAGCAATCGATAAACATTCATCATTACCATCTTGGGCTGTGGCCACCAACAATTTGCCTTTGTACTTCCCATATAAATGTGTTCCATCAATTTGAATGACGAGTTTGGCAAATTTGAACGCCTCACAACACTGTCTAAACGTCCAAAATATACGATGAAACACATTCTTTCCAGTAACTAAGCTCTGCTCTGCATAAAGATCATTTGTTTGGATATTATAAAATGAACTTGGAGAAAAGCGCAGCATGAATTCGCACCACCGTGGCAAAAAAGCGTACGATTCCTCCCAATCACCGTACATAATTGCGATCGCTTTCTGCTTCGCATACCACGCCCTTCTGTAGGAAACTTTAAAGCCATATTTAGCGATTATCCTTTCTTGCACCAAAGAGATTGACACAGATGGTTCTTCCTTTATCATTCTTGCATTGAAGAGGACCCAGACTCGATAATAGCTCACAAATTTAATTACACAACAGTACGTAAACGTTGACATGTCATTACGGTAAATAAATACGTACCTATGACGAGATCTGCAATAACGTCCGCATCGAGTTGTCTATGTCCCTGCGGAATGTGCTCATTCAAACAATTGTGTTTTCCACCCCATCTCGTAATCTTCCAATTTTCACCAAACACTGGTTTCATGGCCCTAACGCGCCACGGGCAACCCTTATCATATGCACAACATTTCATGGATAACTTTGCAGGCGTACTCTCAATTACAATTGCTTCTTGATGCTCCTTAATGAGGAGGGGCTTAAGTGCCATTTGGACATCTTTTTTTGTTGCAAATTATTGATTGACAAATAAATTATCACCTAGTTGCCACAGACCTTGTATTGAACCCGATCCTGAGACCGTACCATAAGTGCAAGATTCTTGTTCGCTCTGATAACTCCAATCAATGTAGGAATAATGCGAAATTCCTTGCCAAAAAGGAATAACAGTTTCGTCACCTGCAACTGCGGATTGTAACTTATTAATACAAACTTTCTAATTCAGGTATTAAATCAGGTATGTACTCAACTATATACACATTATTTCAATTACCTTCATGATGAATCCCTAATAGGGCAGACACAACGTCATGCAACTGCGTCATTTGCGCGACCACTGGTTGATGGAATATTGGGATTTGAGACACACCCATTTCGGCACCTTCATCTCCTTCGGAAGCACTAGCATCCTCCGCCAGAAGACGTTCTTCCATTGCGATATTTTCATCATCGTCGTCGTCGTCGTCGTGCATTTCCCAAGTCAGATCATTTTCATCTCCCTCAGAATAGTTACCAACTGGAGACGCATGAGCGGCAAACAAAGATGGAGGACGGGCAGAATTTAAATCAACTGACCTCACCGGTAAGGGAACATTCTCGGTTGCGGCAATGTCGACATACAACTCCAGAAAATCTGTCCTTGACTGGTTAAAAATTCTTCTATTGTTATCTCCAGGTCTCCATCGTCAACCACTTGCAAACTAATGTATTTATCACATTGCCATAATCTTGTCGTGATCTGAGAGATACATTGGTTGCCTTGAAGACTTAGCTTCTGCCGAATTTTCTGATGCAGTTCGTCAATGGTTGCATTGCGTTCGATACGTGTCGGCCTTTTTTCATCTTCAAAGATGACACCTCGTCGACCTTCTACCTTCCTACTATTGTAATATAACACAACACGAACAGAATCAGGACGTAAGCTCATTCTTAAATAGTAGAAATAAAATTCAAATACAAAGGGAATAGATATGAAGATTGAGAGAAAAATAGGTGTGAAGAGAGAGAAGAGGTGTGAAGAGTGAATGGAGGGGTGGGGGGATTAAATAGGCTGCACAATGTGACGCCACATTTGGGCGTCACATGTGACGCCCCAATTGGGCGTTTACCCTAGGGGAGAGACGCCTCATTGGGGCGTCACATGTGACGCCCAAATGTGGCGTCACATTGTGCATTAGATCCGTAAAAATTCCAAAAACTGTCATATATGTGTAATTATTTTATTAAATTGCAATAAATAAATTTTTTTTCCTGGTATTTTTCACTACTTAATTATTTATCAAAGATTCAGAATCACCCTTGTATTTTGATTTTATTTTATCAATTATCAGTATAAATTTTACACCATTTAATTATGTTATAACATTAAAATAATTTGACTATGACAATATTTGCATAAAAATTATTAAATTCTTATAATGATATGATAACATATACCTCAGTGATAGTATAAAAAAATTTCAACTAAATTGGACCGGCTATGTTACATCAGAGAACTGTCGTTCATCATTTTCAGGTATTCTTTTTGTGGTGCATGTTGTCAATTATTTTATTGCTGTGGTTTATAACCCTGTAAATCATGAAGAAAGGTATGGCATTAATAAATTAGTTAAACAAATTTCAGAGTAGCATCCTCTCATCTTTACTCCATTAGATGGATAATCAATGATCGCCTAAGCCTTGCAGCCTAGACCTCAAACGTTATCATCATACTACTAAATCATTTATGGATAAGGATGCAGAGTCGCAAAGTTTTCCACACCAGCTTAATAAATAAGCTTTCCGTCTGTGTCTGTGTGTGCGTGCGTGAGTTTTAAGATGTCTTTATTTTGGACATAACTTTGTTGCCCTCTACGAGTTTGATCAACGGCTGCCCTTGACGTTTTTCTCGACTATTCTAATGGTCAAAATGATTATTGTGTCTTTAATATTCATTCTCGAAAAATGTCATCCAAGATATTACCTTCCATGAGCATATATTTGCTTTTGTCTTAGGGCATGTTTGGTGTATAGTATAGGATAAGGCCTGATAGTATAAGGCCTGATTGTATAAGACCTGATTGAATTTTAATATTATCCAACGTTTGGCACGGTATTGTATAAAATAATATATTGTATAAGAATAATTTCATCTAGTATTTGGTAATGTACTGTATAATACTATATATGATAAAAATAAATATTTTGAATAAAATTATCCTTTAATAAAGAATTTATATAATTCTTCAAAAAAAATTCATATGATATTAATTTTTATAAAAATTTATTGATCAGTGTGTCCAAAATATAAATTAATTTTTATAAAAATAAAAATATTCAATATTTTAAAAATTAATATATTGAATGTTTTTTAATAGATTAATATTAAAATAATATATTAATTTTTGAGAATTACATTGGTCGACGATGTTAATACATCAATCTCTTATCAGGCTTTATCCCTCACCCTTAGGCTGGATTAAGTTATACATCGTTTTGATGTATTAAGGGATTATGCTGTATAAACTTATACTATACGATGGTCACACCAAACAACTAAAAATGTCATAACGTATAGTATAAGTTTATACTATCATGCCTTATACGTCACACCAAACAAGCCCTTAGGGAAAAATGTTTGTCATTTTAAATGACACGAAGTTATCTCATTTTTAATGAAACTACGTCGTTTTGGTAAGTTTTTACATTCTCTCTCCTCCATTTTCTTTTTATTTCTAATTTTATAAATTAAAGTAAATGACAAAACACACTAAAACGACGTAGTTTCATTAAAAATGACACAAAATTGTGCCATTTAAAATGACAAACACTAAACCCATTATATTATAGAGTAAATATCTTTTTCTTTCTCAAAAAAATAAATAAATAAATTACGGAGTTCATTTTAATTTCATAGAAAAAATAGATCTGTGATTCCATATTTAAAGAAGAGTTATATTAATCCCTCAAAAATACTAATATAATTTTTTTTTATAAGATTAAAATGAATTTCATATTTTTTTCATTGAGGATCCAAAAAAGGTATATACTCTATATTATAATTGAACCAAATTTAAATAATTTATTAATGCATAAAGAATAATATTTTAAGGGGTAAATTATGTAAATTTTTTAATAAAGTATCTCTTGAGCCCTCAATGAAAACCACGAGGTCCATTTTAATTTCTTTGAAAAAAAATCGATTTGTTGTCTATCTGAAATTCAAAATAAACCTAGTAGTCAAAATTGTGATCCTCTGAAATTCAAAGAAGACCCACATTAATTCTTCAAAAGCACTAATATGGGTGGTCTATTTTGAATTTTAGAAAAATCACGAATTGACTTTTTTTTAAGGAATTAAATTGGATCCCGTGATATTTGTCGAGGAACCAAAAAATACTTTACTTTTAATTTTTTTTACACATGTTTAAATTACATTGTTGTCTTCTTAATTTTAAAAATTACACCTCCATTCTTGAAAAGTAATATACTACACTATGAACATAAACACTTAATAGTGATAAATAAATATAAATAAGTCTTTAAAGAATAATTTTTTTGCTACCATCAAATACGTAAATCAATTAGAACAAATTTTCCCGGTAGAATTGGTGAAAAAATAAAAATAAAATAATAATTAACTTCTTTCTTCATGCAGTTAATTTTGAATACTCTCTTAACAACTTGTAAATTTTAGATGATGAAAATAGAGTTTTACTTGAAAAAGGGTATTCGAATATATTATAGAATTGTAAATAATTTGTACAAAGGGTTCTCTATTTATAGAGAATACTTGACCTAATTTTAACCTAATGGGCTTGGCCCAATACAACAAATAAATGACTAAATAATAACTAAATAATTATTATTTACAACACTCCCCCTCAAGCTGAGGAATAGATATTTATCATTCCCAGCTTACTAGTAAGTTCTTGAAATCTGTCTGAAGGAAGCCCCTTTGTTAATAGATCAGCTAATTGACGCCCGGTGGGAATGTATGGAGTGGTAATCAACCCGCTATCAAGTTTCTCTTTGATGAAATGGCAGTCAACCTCAATATGTTTAGTCCGATCATGTTGAACTGGATTATGAGCTATACAAATAGCGGACTTATTATCACATAGCAGCTTCATAGGTCCCTCACATTTTATTTTGAGATCATCAAGTACAATTTTCAGCCACAGTAACTCACAAATGCCTTGAGCCATAGCTCGAAATTCAGCTTCTGCACTTGATCTGGCAACCACATCTTGTTTCTTACTTCTCCATGTCACCAAGTTACCGCAAAGAAACATGCAATAACCAGTGGTAGAACGACGGTCAGTCACGGATCCAGCATAATCAGCATCTGTGTAGACTTCTAAAGATAGATTGCCATCACGTCGGAATAACAATCCTTTACCAGGAGTACCTTTAAGATACTGAAGAATTCTCTCTACTGCCTGCATGTGTTTTTCTTTTGGATCGTGCATAAACTGACTGACAACACTAACAGTATAAGCTAGGTCTGGTCTAGTATGGGCCAGATATATCAATTTCCCAACTAGCTGTTGATATTGTCCTTTATCAACTGGAGGACTCTCTTCTTCATAGCCCATCTTGTGATTCTACTCAATAGGAGTATTAGAGGGTTTACACCCGAGCTTTCCTGTTTCTTTGAGAAGATCAAGAACATATTTCCTCTGGTTGATAAAAATTCCTTTGCTTGCATGAGCTACTTCTATCCCTAGGAAATATCTCAGTTTCCCAAGGTCTTTGATTTCAAACTCAGAGGCAAGCCGTGTTTGCAGAATCTGTCTCTCCACAAAATCATCACCTGTGATAATAATATCATCAACATATACAAGGAGCACAGTAAGCTTCCCATTTTGGGAGTGCTTGAAGAAAAGAGTGTGATCTCCTTGGCTCTGTCTGTATCCTAAGGTCATCATAACCTTAGTAAATCTTCCAAACCAAGCACAAGGTGACTGCTTCAATCCATACAAGGCCTTTTTTAATCTACAAACTTTATTTTCCCCCTTCATAGAATCAGAACCAGGCGGGATTTCCATGTAGACTTCTTCTTCTAACTCACCATTGAGGAAAACATTTTTCACATCAAATTGATTTATATCCCAATTGTAATTGGCAGCAAGGGATAACAAGATTCTCACTGTATTCATCTTTGCAACTGGAGCAAAGGTTTCTTCATAATCAATGCCATAGGTTTGAGTGTAACCTTTGGCCACTAATCGAGCCTTATATCTCTCAAGAGTGCCATCAGAATTATATTTCAGGGCATAAACCCATCTGCACCCTACTGCTTTCTTTCCGTTGGGTCTATCAATAACCTCCCATGTTTTATTTT